CTTCCTTAAGGCCTCCTACGACATCGGTGAGGAGAGCGCGGCAAACCAGAGCCTCCTATTACAGTGGCGGCAGTGTCGGAGGCTCCTTCTGAGCAGAGACGATTGGCGGTGACCGACTGGGAAGTAAAATGAAAGCAGCTTGTGCAGGAGATTTAGCGGCATGCACAGCGCCGTCGCTCGCGACCGGCGGGAAGGCGCCATTCCCTTGCGCTCGCGCCCTGCACGGTGTGCCGTGTGACCGGCGTGTGGCACGTGCAATTCTCTCGGCCGATGGCATCCAAATTTGGACGTGAAAAGTACAATTAGGGGCCGTGCATAAATGACGTCACGCGATTTTGGACGATTTTTTACCCCCCCCCCCCCCTCGTCACACGGCGTCACAAAAAGTCAGACCCCCCCCCCTCAAATATGACATCACAAAGATCTGCCCTCCCCCCCCCCCCTCAAAAAAATAAAACATTTCAAATCGCTTTAAACTATTGCCATTGTAGTGCATATTTAATGTGCCGCTGCACTCTGATGTTGTAGGATAAAACATTAATAAAAAAAAGTATTTAATTAAGTAGAACGTGTTGTCGATATTTATTTAAAGTTGCGCATTTCTCAAACCCCCCCTCCTCACACATCGTCACAAATGTCTAACCCTCCCCCCCCTAGGTGCGTGACAGTCATTTATGACGGCCCCTTATGCACCACGTCATACGTCGGTTGTTTACTGGTTAGTGGGACGTGGGCAAATGGCGCGCTTACTGCAGGGGCCGTCACGAGAGGCGTTCGCGGAGCGTCGCCGCGACAGCGCCCATTGTGCGCCGCTTCTGCGGTCCTCCTGGTTTCAACCGTTGGGACCCCTCCGTGTTTGCGTTTGTTCCAGGTGGCGCGGTCTCCCTGCTGGCTCTCAACGGGCTCTTCGTCCTCATCCACCAGTACAACCTGTGAGTGAGCGCCTCGCAGCGCAACACCGCACGCCACGCACGCAGACGACGATGACGACGGGGAGCGCCCGTGTTGCGCCGTGCGAGCCGTCACCCGTGTGCCCGCTGCTGCTGCTGCTGTGATTACAGGGAGTACCCCGACTTTTACAAGAAGCTTTACAGCCTGCTCGAGCCGTCCATTTTCCACGTCAAGTACCGAGCGCGCTTCTTCCACCTGGCAGACCTCTTCCTCTCCTCCACGTGAGATCCTGCGAGTGCCGAGTTGTCATGTTGCATTTGTATCGAACGTCATAAAAAATTGAGACGCAATCTGTACGTATGATGCGATGTAAAGGAAAATGATGATCTCAAAATGCTGCTGGAGAAATGGCGACGTGCGTTTTTTTCGCACGGAGGCGCGGGAAACCACAGACACGCGGGAAGGCACCCAGAACCGGCACAAACAATCGTACATTGGAGCGCCGCACCGGACTTTAATCCGTCGTCACGACTGTGGCGTCGACCGAATTGGACCTCTCCTGTAGCGTGGAGCAGCCCCCACACAACAACGCGCGCCCACCAAACCCCCACGCGTCTCTCCCCGTCTCCCCACGCAGCCACCTGCCCGCGTACCTGGTGCTGGCGTTTGTCAAGCGGTTGTCCCGGCTCTCGCTGACGGCTCCGCCGCACGCACTGCTGCTACTGTTGCCGTTCATCGGCAACCTCGTCCGCCGACACCCGTCGTCGCGCGTGCTCCTGCACCGCGCCGCGGCCGGGCTTGCCGGTGAGTGCTTCCCCGCGGCACGCTCCCCCCCCCCGTCTCGCATTCTATGTTTTCGTGGCGGCTCACGCTGGTGCCCCCTCGCGGTGGATTTGCCACGCTTGCAGACGTGACGAGCGACCCGTACGCGATGGAGGAGGAGGACCCGGCGAAAAGTGGCGCGTCCGACAGCTCGCTCTGGGAAATCCAGGTTGGTGCCGGCTGCGCAGTTGGTCGTGTGTGCACCTGCACCCTGCGCTGGGCCTTCTGATGAAGGCTTCCTCTGTTCTGACATTTGGGCGAGGTTTACTACTGAGGACTCCTAGACCTGTCACGATTCAGGGGTTATATTCACGCATCGATTGTCATCTTGTTTTCAAGGTCTTGTTTGTACTCTCATATTTGATCACAATCAGACTATTTATACTGGAGGAATCCGATGAGCCATGAAGCTCTTTTTCACAGATGTCCAGTAAAAAATATCTGCGTGTGCCCCGTGTGAGGATCGAACTCATGACTTTCAGATTGAGACGTGACGTGCTACCTACTGCGATTACGAGGCAACTTGTTTAGTGCAGTATTTGTGTCGCTGGCTTCAATAGCCCCGATGTTACATTGGAAAATAATTTGTATATCATTCATCTGCTTCTTGCACTCGCAGTACACACGATTTGATGTCACCATTGAGCCTCGGCATCAACTGTAATAGTTTAATGCAGTAGAACCTCGGAGATCGAACGCACCAGAACTCGAACAAATCGGGGTTCGAACGATATTTCCGAACATTTTTTGCCCCGGAAACTGAACGGAATTCGTAGAATGGGCAATCGCGACTTGAAAGAACCTGTATGGCTGAGACGCGTATGCCCAGCGTGCATGACGCTTGCCCAGACAAAGGTTTTACTGTACGATAACCTCTTTAGATACGTTTTTAGTCAGAAAGAGCTCAAGTGACTCACAGTGGCAGAAAAGAGGCAGTTACCCGACGTTATTATGGAAGGGGACTCCCCTTCCAAACAATAACACCACCACCACCTCCTCCTCCTCACCACCTTCCACTCAAGCCATCAACTCCCCTTACTACAGGCAAAGTGAAGTTCAATGTTCATTTATTTAATTTATTCCAAATATTTATTAATTTATTTCATTTATTTACTTATTGTGTTTCTTGTTTATTTATGATTTAATGTATGTAATTACTGTAAACTTCGTGTAAAAATGCTTTATAATGAGAGATTTCTTTTGTCTGGAACCAATTAATGTCATTTACATTAATTCTTATGGGGAAAATTAATTCGGTGTTTGAACAAATCGGTGTTCGAATGGCCTTCTCCGGGGTACCACTGTACGTACTTCACCCTTTCACAACCGTCTATGATGATGCCCTCTCGTGGCCGGTGCCGTGTATCATGTGAGCGGATGTCAGGTTTTGTTTGTGGGCCACACACTGCTGCTGCTGCCATCTAGTGGCAACATCTGTAGAAGAATCGAGGCACACGAATAGAATTCTAGAAAGTGACGTAAAGTTGAAAAACGCACGGCTGTAATTATCCGCAGCCGAATTCTGTGGTCACGTGTGTTGGCATTCGCTGAACGGTGGCGCTGTGGCCGTGTGTTTGTGCAGAGCCTGCAGCGGCACTACCACCCGGACGTGGCCACCGCGGCCACCGCGCTCACACGGCCGCTCTCCGACGTGGAGGAGGACCTCTCTCCACTGCTGGAGCTCTCCTCCACCGAGGTGGGTACCTCGCAACCCCTCAGCGGAGTCGATCGGTGTCATATTCTCCCAGGTGGCGGCTAACGTGGTGGCATTGCGCGGCTCCCGTTGCAGTTGTTTGAGCGGGAGGTGAAGAAGAAAATCAAGAACGTCCCCTTGGAGTTTGAGTTGCCCCAGGGGCTTCTGGGAAAGAAAGGCGACACGCTCACTTCTCGCTGGACCCTGTAGCACGACCATTGGCGGCGGCGCTGGTTTGGGGAAGGCACAAACTGCACGTCGGGTGTCGTCTCGGGTAAAGAGCACGGGGACGATTGAGTGAACCGACGGACGTGACTTCACCTGCTCAGTCTACGGATAGTCCCATCATTCATTTTTGCTGTAAATGTTCTGTCATGCGAGTGAGATTTGTCACCGGTTGTACAGCAGACCAGGGAGTTAGCACCCAAAATCTGCTGCTGCTGTTCAGGGGTCGGTCGCATAAAACAACTCCCGAGCACCGATTTCAGTTCGTGCCGGTTAAGGAAGCTTCTCATATCGGGGAGGGGCGGTGGGGGGCGGGGTTGTTTTATGCAAGCGGTCGTGGAAGCTGACGGGCGTCGTCTGTGTTTGTTGACGTCACCTGAACGACTCATTCGGCGCTGGTCGTCTGCAGAACGAAAATGATGCTTTGTGGTTTTTTTTTTTTAAGACGTTTGTGTTTCAAAGCCTCTTTAGAAAATAAATGTGAAAGGACATTCGAGTGTTTTTTTATTTGTTCTCCGCATTCACGTTGCACCGTGTCCATCGGCCAAGCGGCGAGGATCACGCTGCTGCACTCTCGCGAGGGAGGCGCAGCATTCGTGCCGAACGCTCGCGGACGGTGCCGCCGCGTTCTGGAAATTTCGGTGGCCGATTGTGGTCATCGCACGCACACCGACGTCTTCTCCATCGCGATTAAGACATTGTGGCCAAGCCGTCGCCACCACTCCTCGTCAACGCCGCCTGCCCTCCAGTACCCGCAGCTGCTGCACAGGCGGCAAGCAGCGACCTCTAAGATCTGGCCCGACCATCTCCCACCATCTGCCCTCGAGTCTCGTCTTCCCCTTGTGTCGTTGGAATCTTGACGTCTGCTCCAATACCGGTCTCGGCAATGGCGCTCCCTCATCCTGCACGGACGTCCGACCCAGCGCCGCCGTGTTTACCCAATCCTGTCCACAACACCCACCTGTCACGTTCTCTTTCGGACTTGTGCATGGCTCAGTCCCATCTTCTACCGTCAACGTTGTGAGAATGGAACTCTCTAACAGCGCGTGCCAATCTACAAAAGGTAAAACAAAGTGGATGCGGGTTCATGAGGTTTATATTGACGGCAAGCAATGGGTGGATATTCCACCTCCACGTTGAGTGCCTTCAACGAGATTCCTCGGGTGCGATGTTCACGGTGAAATCTGCTAAGGATGCGCAGTGTTTGTTCAGGTAGCGTTACGTGTCCGCTACGCACGAGTCCCTGGACTCCCCCCCCCCATCCCCGCAAGCGAGACGTTCTTGCCTCCAGGGACTGTCCAGGTGAAATGTTTTAATTTGGAAAACTCGGTGACGGCCAGCGCGCACACTCAACACAGCAACACGGACGTCAGGAGCCACGTGGCTTTATTCTCGGCCGTACTTCATCTCGTATGAAATAGCACGAGGAAAACGGTGGCCAGGAAACGTAATTGTACGCGGCGAACGGGGCCAAACAACGTAATAATTACATAAAACATTGTGTGTATCAACAGGCTGCTCATACAAATAGAACGGAACATGGCACCACAAAAACCGCAAAGCTTTTTTTGATTATATAATCACGGGACGGACAAGACCACCTGCCGACCGACTCATAAATAACGCGTCCGCGAGGCCCCCCCCCCTTCCCCCCCCAGCCCCTGCCCCTCCAGTCTGTACACATCGGGCACGGAATATAAAAATTACAAATTTAATTTGTGTCACCCGCACGGCTAACGCAGTCCCCGCACTCCAGCAGCTATAAAACATATGTACACGTTCCCAGATTGTGTGATGCAATGGCAGTTTAACACGGGAGAAACGGCTTCCCGTCTCCCTCTCGAAACGATTCTCGTCAACGTCGCCGAAAAACGCGGTCGCTCGCAGAACTCGTCGACGTTCGCGCCGGACGGTTGCAGGGTAACTCGTCGGTCTCTTCCGACGACACCGGGTCTTTTTTGGCGTGACGGATAACGGCGGCTGTTTGTGCTATCCCCGTACACACAGAGTTAAGGTTTTGAAGGCAGGCAAGTTTGTTTGAAACGGAAAAGGCATGGTCTCCGAGCCGGCCCCGGAGCAGCGTGTCTGAGAGCCGGTGCTCTCGCGCTCCCCGTTCGCCCGAGCGGCCGCCCCCCCCCACCCCCGGCGGTCGAGGCCAACGAAGCAGCCGTCGCAACGGCCGGTTAAACGGCGCGGTCTAAAAAAAAATAACACGACGCGCGTTCGCAAACAGTCTGGACGCGCAGAGCGATCGAAGCGAGGGCGCCAACGTCGTCCTGCCGAGCGGCGGCGCGACGCGAGAGGTCTGCGCGGCCTCGCTAATCGGGGGATCGAAATCGGATATGGATGGGATAATCGCTCGATTGACCGCACGCTCAATTGACCGCACGCTCGATTGACCGCACGCGGTCGTCGGCGCGACGCGGTCTGCACACCGGCAGCTATGTACACCTTTATACACGGCCTTTAGGGAACCCCGGGGGTTAAAAATTCCCCTCGCGTGACGCAACGGCAAACCCTCGCGTGACGCGGAACACGCGAGGAACCGGCGACGCGGCTGGGCCCACTTTGGCTTTGCCTGGCTCCCATGGCCCTACCTTCCAAAATTCTACAAAACAATTAAAATTATACAGCGTTAGACATCAAAGTTGTATTCATACTGCATCACACTTTAAATAGGTACTGTAATATAGACTTCTGTCACCTACGTATGCACGTATATTGAATCTGCCCGTGCTCTTGACGCCGTTCCTGCTGCGGGGGAAGGGCAGGGTCGTTATTTATTTATTTACACGCGGCAGCGGCGCCCTGCGTCCGCCCTGCGTCCGCCCTGCGTCCGGGTGCCTCCTCCGCGACCGGGTGCCTCCGGCCGCTGGCGGGTCACGGACACCGGCGAAGGAGTTTGCTGCTGCGGACGAGGGGGTCTGTAGAGAGCAGGGACCACGACAAACCCTGTGCCGGGACGGCGGCACTAAAACCACCCGACTTGAAACGCGAGCGACAACGGGGAGCTCTTGCGAAAAGGAGGTCGTGGCTGCACTGTGTCGAGACGTAGCGCTCGTTCGAGAATTCGCTCCGACCGCCGTTTGTTGCACAATCAGAACCCGGGCCGCTATGGAGACTGGAACTAAGTGCTGCGTGTTGGCGAGTTGATGTGGAGCCTTCGCGTTAAGCACAGCCCAGACGTCGTCGGTCCCTCTACGGAGAGGGTCCAGGGAATCGTGGACAAAGACGACGGCGCTTGGCAGAGCGGCCGGCTGTGCAAACCTCCGCTGTCTGCCAAACGCCGAGGCTCGTTTCGGCAGCTAAAACGCGAAGGCCGAGTTGAACTTGCAAGTCCGGCCCCTACTCCCCCGCTCCACCTTGCCAAGCGTCGGTTCGGCGCACCGCGTGTGCACAACCAGCAGCAGCGGAGGCTGCGCTCCGTTGCGACGCCTCCACGCGAACGCCGCTCGCTCCGCGAGACGCCGGCACGGAGACGCGCGCGCGGGTCCCGCGCTCGGCGAGCTCCGGGAGAGGCCGGGGGTTACCGAGCCTCTACCTCGCGGCTGCCGCGCGGCGTCGGGGAGCGGTCACGCGCATCGCCCGGCGCCGCCGACAGCGGCGTGACCGGCGTGAGCGGCGTGGAGCGGCGCGGCGACGGCGCTCGGGCCGAGGCTGGGATGAGCGGCGGAGGGCCGCTCGTGGCGGGGGGCCCCGCGGGCGGGGTCTTGGCGAGCGCCCCGTTGTGGTGACCGTGGCCCACGTGAGCGTGCGGGTGGGAGGAGGGGGGCGCGTGGCCGTGGTGGGGGGGGTGCAGGGACGGGTGCATGGAGCCGGGGTGGAGGTGGGGCCCCAGGAGGCGTGGGTAGTGCAGCCCGGGGAAGCCGGCGGGAAGCAGCGACGCCCCGGCCAGCGACGTGTGCAACTGCGCGTCGAGCAGCATGGCGGAGGAGGCGGCGGAAGAGACGGCCGGGTGCATGCGCGAGCGCTCCAGCTCCAGCGAGTGGAGGCGCTCGCGCTCGTCGCTCGCCAGCCGGCGCGGGTCCAACAGGAGGCCGCTCGCGATGGCCTGCTCGCGGCCGTAGTCGTGCGGCTCGCGGTCGCGGTACGCGCGGCTCTGGTCGTACATGGCCTGCATGTTGGCGTAGCGCTGCATCGCCACAAAGTCTCGGCCCAGCATCTCCTTGCGGTGGTCCATGGCCGCGGCGTAGTGGTCGCGGAACGGGTGGCGGATGCCGTCCCACAGCGGGTAGCGGTCCCGCCCGGCCAGGTGAGACAGGCCCAGGTAAGGGTTGGTTGCCGCGGCCGAGACCATCCGCCCGCGCTCCAGGCCCGCCATGCCGTTGAGGCCGAGCGGGTAAATCTCCATGCCGTGCGGCGGCGGCGGGAACGCGTGCATGGGGGCCGACAGGTGGGAGTTGTCACTTGACCGGGTGTGGAGTTGCTGCGGATGCGGTTGAGGTTGGTGGTGCTGGTGCTGGTGCTGATGCTGCTGCTGCTGCATGGGTTCAGAGCGCACCAGCACCACGTCGCTCTCCTCCTTGCGCTCCTCCTTCACGCGCACATCGCCGGGCTTCCTCGGTTGCTCCCCACGGCGCTCCATCTCCCGGGCAGAACCCTCCGCCCGTCTCTCCGCCTCTCTCAGCTGCCGGCTCTCGTCGGCCGTGAGGAGCCGCGGAAAGGGCGAGGAGCCGCCCCTTCCATCCGCCGGCACGCCGCGCAGGTCCAGCCCGCCGCTCTTGGCGAGCTCCTCTGGGTTAAGTCTCCGGTCGAGGCTGCCCGACTTGCCATAGTCCTCCAGGCTCAGCCACCGGTCACGGCTGCCAGGCCGTCCGTGATCCTCCGGGGCTTTTCTCTGCTCCGCGTTCCCCGACCGCGCGTGCTCCTCCGCACTCGGCCTCCTGTCGGTGCTCCCGGGCCGCACGTCGTCTCCACCGCCGCCGCTCTGCCGTCGCGCCGACGCGGCCTTGCCGTAGTCGTCGGCGTGCGCCCTGCGCTCGTGGCTCGCCTGCTGCTTGCCGGGGAAGGTGAAGTCCCGGGCCCGGTCGTCGTCCTTCCTCTCCGCACCCGGCGGCTCGCGCTCCGCCGTGCGGTCCCTGTCGCCGCTGCCTCCGCGGGCGTCGGCTGCCGGCTGGCGCTCGACCGAGCGATCGTCCCTCTCGACGGCGCCCCGGTCCTTGTCCCGCGAGTCGGCGTGCGCCCGCTCGGCCGCACGATCCCGCTCCGCGGGCCGCTCACGGGAGTCGGCGCGCGGTCGCTCCGGCTCGGCGGGACCCGGCCCTCGGCTCGCGCCATGGCCAGGCGTCGACGTTGTCGTTGTCGCCGCGGGAGACGAGGAGGAGCTGCAGTGCCGCGATTTGCTGTGCTCCGCTCTGCCGAGAGATCACCGCACGATCGCAATCATCGCACCGCACACGCCACTAGTCGGCTTCCGTAGAGAAGAACCCACGATGCACAACAGCACGTTTCCCGCTATTTCATGGAGCAGGCAAGTTTGGGCTTTTAGTTTAACTGGAGGTAAATTATTTCATGAAAAATTACCTCCGGGTGTAGGAACGGGGTCATTAGCATCACAACGTTCATGAGCGAGCATGTACAGCAATGCCAGTGGACAGCGCTAGCCCGTGGACGTTGCTCATAGCGAGCGCGTGACAACGAGCACCAACTGCTGCGATCGCGGTGCGGCGGATCTTACGAGTCGGCTCTCAGCCCAACCGTTTAGAGGAGCGAGCGCGAGGACTCCAGTCAGGTTCCTATGGGTCGGGACAAAGGCTAGGATCATATTTGTCAAGCCTAGAGTAATGGTTGTTAGGACAATGGCAACAGTCATACCTCGGTATTCAACTGTAGGTATAGCTATGGTCGGGGCTACAGCTTCTGCTATGACTCGGTTCCACAACTAAGGATACGGCCAGGGTTGTATCTGGGCCCAGGTTGGGACGTGCGGTCGCCTCACGTGGAGCGGTCGCGGTGCTCGCTGGGCCCGGCCGGCGCGCTGCTCCGCTCGGGGTCGGCGGGCGGCTTGGGCCACGGCGGCGGCGTGGGGAAGGAGGGCGGCGTGCGGTGGAGGCGGTTCCACGGGTCCTGGGAGCCACCCATGGCGGGGACGCCGAGGGCCTCCTTCTGTCCGTACACCCCGTTCGAGGCTGCAACAACAACGCGCGGCGGCGCCCACGCTTCACCTCCGGCCCGCGGCGCGGCGCGCTCCCACGGGTCGCCTTTCAAGTTTGTTTGGCCAGGTGAGGGCTCAAGAGGCCGGGGTAGAGTCTCGTTTCAAAGGGCGACCCACGAGCCGCCAAAGTGACAAAGGCAATAACGCAAAAAACACGGACGACAACGGAGCATTTAGCTCCGATTTCTATTTGCTCCAGCTGAGCAAAGACTGAGGCTGGCAACAACTGCTTCTGTTACGCGTAGAAGCCTTGTCAAACAAAGCCTATAATGCTCGTACAATATTCACAAACGGTAAACACTGCAATGTTGATCATAATCATCTTGGCATGCGTACGGCGCTTGATCAAGAGTCTCAGCAACTCAAAGGGCCTTCACGTCGCATTTCGAACATTGAAACGGGGTACCCCCCCAGACCCCCCCCACCCCCCCAGTGGCAGATGTTCCTGTACGCCGCACCGTGACTCGGCGCCTGCCTGCAAGTGGGCTTTACTCTGCCAGAACGAGGGAGGGGTGGGGCGACGATTGCAGCGTGCAGCCCCAACTGAGCAATTCTTATCCGCACGAGTCCATGCACGTATCGTGCGCCGACTCATCGGAGCTAGACGGTCGCGTCCGGAGCGACGAGAAAGACGAGAGAACCGCCGGAGCGCTTCTGCACGAGTGGCGCAGCGCACGCTCGGCACGCGAACCCCGAGCTCCCCCCCCCCCCCCCTACTCCCGGACGACCCTCCTCCTCCCCAACGGAAACAGATGGGGAGCCATTTGCTTCCACTCCACGGCCGCCGAGGGGTTTAACCGCGAGCCCCCCCCTCCACCCCACACACCCCGCCCCCCCCCCTCCACCCCCGCCCCCCCCACGCAGCTTTGAGACAAGAGAATGCGGGAGTTCAACCTGCCACGGGGAGGCGCTTACTGAGCGCGGGGTTGCCGAGGCCGCCAAACGCATTGGTGCCGAGCGAGCAGAGACCTCCAAAGCTACTGGGCCGACTGAAGGGGTCTGTAAAGACAACGCAGCAGCAGCAGCAGAAGAAGAGTTACACCTCGAGTTTAGCATTGAAACTCAAAGTAGTAGTAATAATAATAATGGTGCTTACAGTGCCAGGGCCGTGCAGGGTGGCAGAGCAAAGGGGGCAATTTTCCCCGGGATGGCCTCACACAGAAGGGTGGCCGTCCCCACAATGGGCCCACGTTTTTGTCGCAAATCAGCGAATAAGGGGGCCTTCACGTGGCGTTCTGCCCTGGGCCTCCAGCCCCCTGGCCACCAGGAACCACTGGGCGGCTCCGAATAGTGCCACTCGTTTACCCAGGAAAGCCTCGCCGAGTCTCGAGGCTCACTTTCAGGAAGGTCCCGCTACACTGGGATGTTTGGCCGATCCAATGAATAAATGTTTGGCTTCCCGTGGGATGAAAACACAGTACCTGGAGAATACCCACGCATCCATACGAGGGGACAATAACTCGCAGCTCCGCTCAATACAGACGTGACAATCTATTACGATGCTGCCATCTCGAGCCTATAACGTCTGGTATTCCCAAGCAAGTCTTTCCGCATGCGAACTGACGATAGACTCAGCCCTGCTTAGCTTCCGAGATGTGACAAGTTCGGGGCACGGTCAGGGTTACTTGGTCGGAGGCGACACAGGGTCAGAGGCCGAGATGCTCGCGGCAAAGGTGCCGGCTCTCTACGCTCGTGCGCCACGCACGCAACGCACCACGCCCTCACGACCCCTACAGCGTCGACCCCCCCCCATTGCAACAACCCCGCCACCACTGCGTGCGTCCCTCGGCATGGAACGTGATCTTAGGAAGCGAGGGAGGCAATGCACGTTTGAGAGGAACCGTGCTGCTGCTGCTCACTGTGGAAACGCGAGGACGTACCGAGGGCGGCCGGGTTGAGGAAGCTGCCGTGATGAGTGGGGGGCCCGGGCATGCACTGCGTGGGGGGTGGCCCGGCCACTGGCGACGCGCACACACACGCATACAGGCGTGAACACATGAACACACGTACACACGCAGACAGATACACGTACACACGCAGACAGATAGACATCAAAAAAAAAAATACAAAGATCTCCCGTATAGCCTAAACAGACTGTAGGGGCAAGTGCTGTTCGCGAGCACCTATGAAGGCCGGAACGGTACACGAGGGGGTGGGTGGCCAGCACCACGCCCGACCGCCTTTGTCTCCCCAGTGACGATGTTTAGACACCGCACCAGGTGCTCATTTGAGGCTGAATCGACCTAGGGGAGGCCCAGGACCGGTTCAGATAATCGTCACTGGTGTTAGCCGTGAGCGGGAATCGAAACCGGGTCGCCGGGTTCATAGCGCAGTGCGCTAACCGCGACACTACCGCTCCCCCAGATAGACATACGCATGCACACACACACGTACATGGACTCACATGCGAACATATACACGTGGCCACTCGTGCACACGCATAAACACGCAAACACACATCGCATAGGCCTCCTGAACAGGGCCCTGGTCCTTCACGCGCAGCGGCTCCCCCCCATCGTCATCTGAAGCCAGGGCTCCGGGGCGGGCTGCGGGGCGCTCCCCGCAGTGCACGAGTCCAATGCAACCTCCCGGCTACCCTCAACTTCCTGTGCTCATACCTCGGAGCCATTCACTCGCCCAACGCTCGGCGGTAAGAGGAGAAGCACGAAGCCCCTCTCACCCCCGCCACCCCCCCCCAGTAACACACCTGCCGAGAAGAGGGTGGCGGGGCGCGTCAGCTCGTGGGGGTGCGCAAAGCCCGGGAAGAGGCCGGGCACGGGGGGGCGGCCGAGTAGGTCGGCCTTGCCCCCGAAGTCCAGCTTGTGCGGGTCCAGCTGCATCTGCTGCAGGGAAAGATGACCCCCGTGAGGATGGCGTCGCCGCTCCCTCGCCACCGCACAACCACCGTCAACCCCCCTCCACCACTGCCGCCGCACTCGCACACACGCTCACACACGCGCACACACTCACCTTCACCTTCTGCTGGTGGTAGTAGATCTGCCAGGCCACGCGCACGTGAGCCGCGCACCACTTCCCCGGCTTCTGTGCAACAACAGACGACCACCGCCATTGCCGGATATTACTCCACCCGGCGTGGATCACACGAGTCACTCCGCTCAAAACGAGCCCGGTGTTTAACCCCGCACCGCAGGTACACGGGGAACGCGCTGCGGACAATGCCCCGTTTACATCGAGAGCAAGGCCGACAATCGATCACATGCACCGTGCCAAAGGGTTAAAATGCTTCAACGGGGACGATAACGACGCCTGCTTGCCGCGGGTATTTTGCGCAGTGCCACAAGCGCACGCCGGTGTCGGTGCGTGCGGGGCGCCTATGAACGAGCAGGTAATGAAGTGATGCACTTACGGTCAAGGGTAGTCTGAACGGGTCCGTGAACTGTCGAGGAACAGAAAGGGGAAAACGTTACCGCGGTGGTCAAGCAAAGCGCAACCGCCGCGTCTGCGCCGTCCCCCCGGCGTCGCCGCGCACCGCGGGGAGCCGCGACTCGGAGCGCGTTCGTGCCGAGCTCGCACTCGCCGCTCGCTCCTGACGCGCCACGGGCGGATACGCCGGGGTAACCACGCTCAGCGCGCGCGAGGGACAAAACTCCGTTATACATTATCAGAGTTGTGTTTTTTGTTTGCATTCCGACTGCAGGAATTGTGGTCAATGCAAACATGACTCCTTGTAAAAAAGGTGTCAGTTTTGTTGCCAGATAAAAGGGTAAAAAAGCAATTATCATATTTTGCTACTGGCAAAGGAGGTTTCAATGGCGGACAAAACGTCCCCAACGAGAAATTAAACCGACTCGACAAATACAACACCAGATCCGCATTTGCGCCGTCGTCGTGGTCAACATACGTAACAGAATAAACAGACGACATGCCTCCTTCCCATACCTCGGGACCACGTCTAACAGAGAGGGTCCTTGCCTATAAACATCAGGCAGTTCACAAGCATAGGTTCAATCAAGCCTGATTCTGCCGATGATGAGACACTGAATGTGAAAACTGGTCCAAAGTTTTGCTGATGTTGAACCAATGGTGCTGAAATCGTGCCCTCCTAGAAGGCCGAGTGGCTGATGAGATGTGTACAAATATTATCATATTCTTTTGTGTGCAAGGACAGATATGGGAAGGACGCGAGTTGTCTCGAACACAATGGGCAATCACCACCCGACGCCCTTGATGGGCACAACGAGCGTCGCGTGGCACGAGCGCTCCGAATCGCTCAGGAGACAGGTGACCGTGACCAGCAGGCCGCGTGTCGCAGGTGCAGCGGACCCAGCCTTCGGGGCTGTGCAGCGGACGGCACAAGGAGCCGTGCGCGAGCCAACAGAACACGCCGAGCGAGGGTTTACCGACAGGCAGTGGAGAGGTGGCTTAGCCAATGTTAGCAGGGAGGGAGAGTCTGGACGTCACGGGCGAATGCCGCGGGGCCCATGTGAAATATTGTCGAAATTTCGGAGCACGGCGGCGGCAAAACTGCGGCCTCTACGGTTTTCACGGCCACGTGCGGCGGTGTCAATTATGCATCGGCGCTGGGCAGGCCGCGGCTCATTCACTAACACCGTGGCGGCGCCCAAGGCCGTCTATTTGTGCCCGACGCTTAACGAGTCGGGGAGTTCTGCGAAATAGCGACTCAGAAATGTTTCCAGGAATCGTGGAGCCCCGCGGGCCAGGCTATTTTGTACAAAACGTCCAGACGGGGACGGGGGGGGGGGGGGGGGGGGCGGAAGCAGCTGTTAGCGCTGTGCAGGAAATGCTCAGGTGGTGCGCGCTTAAGAAACGGCGAACGGGACCCCCGAGAGGGCACGGCAAGCGGCGGTCGGCACGCGACGCCCTCCTCCTCCTCCTGGCAGCCATTGCAGTGCAGTTGTGGTCACGCCGCTTCGCCCAGAGCGAGCGAGCGGAGGTCGCTCACCGAGCACCGCCAAATAATCAGCTACGGAAGACGTCGGGCACAAGAGGTTCTTTCTGAAAATCCTGAACGCGTGGCGCTTTCGGCCTCTTACGTCAGCAGCCGCCATCTATTTGACCTGTGCCCAAAGTGTTCCCTGTGCTGCGAGTCTGTCCCCAGCCCTGCGCGTTTCAGATTTGAGCGCTCGCGACACCAGGCATTGTCATCTACTGCGCACGATCCAACCGAGACCTTGGTGCCGGTAGGGGCCGGCTCCGGGTTTGTGCCCTTGTGATGCGTCTAATGGAGCTGGCGCTCGTGACAGCGTCTCTCTCAGCAGCTCGGCGGAACGAGGCTCGGGAAGGATCTGTGATTGCCGCGGAGCCCTTGAGGGGAAGTTTCGAGTTGATTTTGTCGAACCAGGTGAGAACTCAAGAGACCAGATGAGTCTTATTTTGAGGAGTCACCCGGGGCATTAGTCTGCTGCCAGTTGGGGTGATGATTGCTGCTGTAGAATCCAAATTGAGTAATTTGCGGTGTAATTTCTGAATGTCAAATTTGGACCCTGACGCCGGCACACAACGGCCCACTCTTGCGAATGACGTCACAGGATCTTTAACATCCACTGTCAAGCAGATGGCACGTAGTAGTATTCCGGTTATTACACCGCAGTATTAATCAGGGCGGCCGCTGGATTCGAACCATGAACCTCAGCAACAAGTGGCGAACGAGCTGCCGCTCGGCCACCGTGTCGAGACAGGGTGGCTCAAGCATTCTGCGCTCTCCGCACGGTGGCAAGGAGGACGTGACGCAGTTGCTGAACACAAAGCCTGGGATTCCTTAGGGAGCGGCAGAAACAAAGGAAACGCCTCTCTGCAGAAGCCTACGGTGGTGCAATGAGACCAGACGATAGGGAATGGGACGCCTTCGTTTGCGTTGTCCTCGCTCGCTTTGATTTCATTCGAAGCACAGGGAGCAGCTTTGCTTGCGCTGGGGCTCTGCCTCACGGCCGGCACCGCCCGCCGCACGCTCCGCCAGCGAGCGTGGCCGGGACGCGGCGCCGCTACCCCCGGCCCTCCCGACAGCAGAAGGCTCAGAGCCTTCTCGGCGCGTTTACCCGGGGGTCTTTGGGGAGCATGGAGTGAGGCGCAGGCCCTGGTCTGCCCGCTACGTCAACTGCACTGGAATTCTGGGAAGGAAGGGCGGGGCAACGCGAGGAGGTTACCGCGGCGACAGGCAAGCGCCACTCGGCCTATCGCAGGCCTCAGCAGTCAACGGCACCGACAGCAGCAAAGCAGCGGCAAAGGAGTCGCGAGGACCGGTGCTTTAATCAATGTCCGCTCAATGATTGTTCATCAATCGCTCCGGCCGCGTGCGGAGAGCAGCGAGAGCCAGCAACGCACTCCCTCGCTGCTGCAATGGCCAGCGCATGCACAGCCTCGATGGGAGCAGCTCAGAGAATAGACGCAGCGCTCAACTGTAAACGTGTTAGTCACAAACGCTCACACCAATTAAAATTAGTATTAAATTATTGTTAAGTTTAGGATAGGTATGTTAAGATTTAAAACATTCTGAAATATAAAGTGTGCTTTGAATGACTTAGATGTAATCAAAAGGGGCAATGTTGTTTTAGGTCTCACAACGGGTCATTTTCTCCGATGGTTAAATAAAGAAGACCGACTGAACAACTGCTGGGCAACGGAGTTTTCAAATCGGCATTCACCAAAACAATCGTCGACACGAGCAGCTGGAGCCGACACAGACGCGGGGAGAGGCACGCGTTGTTACTGACAAAACAACCAGCGTGGCATCTTCCTCCTTCCCAACACGACGTATTCAAGCAATGATTTACAAGTACATTCTATTTTGTGAAATATAGACAATATCCTTGAGCAGGCCACGACCTTCGTACGCCGTGTTTACCGGGTGCCAGGTCGTGACATTATTTTAGGGTGATTCTATGGGCGAGGATTTATATTGGACATCCGTGAAAAAGAGCTTCATAGCTCATCGGATTCCTCCAGTCTAAATAAAGGTTCTGATTCTGATATTTGGAGCGTGCTTTTTGAAGTCGATCTAAACGATCGACGACCAGCAGGTCGCCGGCCCTGGCAGCGACGGCGAGCAGCACCCGGCACGCCGCGCGGGGCGCAACTCCCATCCCACAACGCCCCGGCCAGCTACGCCGCGGTGCCCCCCACGCCGCGGTGCCCCGCACGCCGCGGTGCCCCCCACGCCGCGGGCGAACCTCCGTGGAGGTGTGCCGGCGGCGTCGCCGCCGCAGGGCCTCACCTTGGGCTGGAAGGCGCCCTGCAGCGAGGAGAAGGGCCCGGCCGGGGGGAGGATGGGGGCCAGGCCGGGCAGGCCGGGGTGGTAGGGCCCAAAGAACTGCGCGGGGAGGGAAGGGCGCGGCCGTGAGCGGCGGTGACCAAACGCGCGCTCACGCTTTCGTGAGCTCGCCGGCGCGTGCGGCGCCGTCATCGCGGCTCTGGCGCGAGGATGGAATGTTTGTAAAACTATTTTTAAAATCTAATTCCGTGTTGCGATGATACATTTCAACACGGCCAGCCTAAAACGCAGATACATTCGCGATAACATTTACACTCGATTTAACGCGTCCTTTATTGCTTTTGGAATGTTTAGTTTTTTGCGAGCGCCGAAAGCGTTCGTCACTGCCCGTGCCAGTGAGCGAAAGCTGCCGGGAGAGGAAGCCGCGCGGCAAGCAGGTGGTGCGAGCGTGCGGTGGTAGTGGTGGCGGTGATACTCACGCTGTGTCGATAGAAGGGGTTTTCTAATCGGGGACCGTATTTGTCAAACTAGGAGAAAACACAACACCAACATGATTGCTCATTTCTACTGCCATGGAAAATGACAATAGCATCTCGTACCATTTAACATACAGTTACGCGATATACAGTTATTTTAACACGTAGGTTTTCGCGACCAATATCATCCATAATACTGGATTTTTGGGTTAGATCGCGTGTCGGGTGGTGGCAGGTTTAATGACCCATTTATATACAGTTATATATGTGTGTGCAACATACATGCCTTGCTGTAAAGTTTATAAGTCACACTAAAACCAACACTTTTAGCCCAAGTAATGCTCTTACACAGTACGTAATGTATGCCCAGTTAGAAGCGTAACGACCCGCAGCACTCAAGGTGGAATGCATGACTCAATGCAAACCACGAAAACTAGATTCAAGACACGTCACGCGACTGTGCGCATGGCCTCAGTGTCCCACGGGGACGCGGCTTTGCGTGCTCCTGCGAGCACGCATGCACGTGGCGTATTCCACGCTCAGCGCGCGTCGCCTGTGTACGTCGCGCTCACGCAGCTGCCCGGCTGCACGCCAGCGTGGGGAACACGGCTCGTTCCTGTGAAGTCGGGTATACCGGATAAACATCGACACAGCTGCAGGTCAAGTCGACCATTTATGCGCCCACAAATGGCCCACTCAGAACAGGACAACAATGTCATCTTTGACGCGCAGAGCGCACGCACGCACGCTACCAAGTTACTTGGTCGCGCACACGTGCACACACGGAGAAAAGTTCAAAGTGCATTCTCACGTTTCTGGGGGCGGCGGTACCCACCAGGGGCGGGGGTGGCGCGGGTGCGGGCAGGAGGCTGGGCGGCAGGCCGGGCGGGTAGGGCGTGAACGTGTGCTGGTGCGTGTGCTGGTGCGTGTGCTGGTGCTGATGCTGGTGCTGATGCTGGTGCTGGTGGAACTCGGCGCGCATGTACTGCGCGGCTGGGCCTAGCGCCGGCCCCCGCTCGCCGCTGGCCTGAGATGCCAGGAAGCGGCTGTCCAGCTCCTGCCTCAGCAGCAGAGGGTCTGCGGGATACAGAGGAGTTGTGGGTGGCGGTGAATCACATCTGCAAACGCTCAGCGCCCACCCCGGAGACGTCCGGATGAACGGATGTCTCGGCGCGCGCGGGGAGTTTGCCCTCACTCCACAGCAAAAACAAACAAAACAAAAAGGCGATTCACGTAGGGAGACTTTCACGAAGACGTGCGAGACGGCTTCGCGAACCGACTCGACGCAAGATCGTCGCGATCGTAAACGCGGGCCCCCTGGCCGTGGTCTGGGTGGCCTGCAGTTCACGGCAAAGTAGCAAGGAGAGTTGTGTGTCGGGCTCAGCCGGTCCGTCGGTCGGTCAAATGCGTGCCAATAAAACCACGGCCACCACGGCCGCACCGGCACGCACCGAAAACGTTCGAGCGCCGTCACCCCTGGCTGCGGCGGCGCGCCTGGGTGGCCAGGGCTGGAGCGGTTAGCGCTCCGCTCTATGAACCGAGTGACCCAAGTTCGGTTCCGGCTCACAGCCAACATGAGCGATGAATATCTGAACCGGTCCAGGGCTTCCACTAGGTCGACTCAGTCTTAACGAATGCCTGGTGCGGTGTATAAACATCAGCGACAAAGGTGGACGGATGCGGGATTCTGGCCACACACGCCCCCTCATAGGTGTTCCGTGTCGGCCTTCATTGGTGCTCGCTAACAGCACTTTCCCCAACAGTCTCTATAAACTTTAGAGGGCATCTTCGTCTTTGTGAGCGTGCGCGCGAGTGTGCACGAGTACTAGCCGGTGCACGCGCGTGCATCTGTGTGCGCGCCGCCACCGCAACGTGTCCCACTGTGTACGGCGCATCTCGCCCTCTGCACGGCACCTGCCCCGCAGTCTGTCGAGCCTGCAGGGCGGGGGGGGGGGGGCTCTGCCCCGTGTGCGTGTGAGCGGCACGCACCTTGGTAGCCTGCGGAGGACGGGTGCGCGGAAACTTGCAGGCTGCCGGACGTGAGCGGCGGAGGGGGAGGAAGGCTGGGCGGTGGGGGCGGCACAAACATCCCGTGGCCGTGGTGGGGGTGAGGCGGGGGGAGGGAGGGCGGCGGGCGCAGGGGAACCCCCGGGTAGGGTAGCGGGGCGGCCTGGCTGCCCCCGACGGGGAATGAGAGGGACTGGGAAGGAGCCCCCGGGGAGGGATGGTAGGGGATGGTGGGCGTGGGGGGAGACCGGTGGTAGGGGGGGAGGTGCGTGGGTTGGGCCGGGCTCTTCAGAGGCGTCGCGCTCCTGCACGCGGCGGCGGGGAGACAAAGGCAGCTGCGTCACGACACGGTGGCTTGCGTGCGCTCCCAGAAATCCACGTGGCTCGTGGGATGTGTAAAATATACTTTTCAGACACATGTAAGAAAGGCTATAGTCCGCTTATTTATCTAGCCGCTATATAAACCATCACCATGACCCAACACCCATTGCGTTTTGATTGTGGGTAGTGGATTTAACGTGCGATTGATTTCATGCAGTGGGTGCTCGAGGCCTGTGCCGGGGACTCCACTCCGATACTCCACCCATGGCCAGAAAAACCACAAGAAGTCTCCTAACCCCTGACCCCAGGCTCAAGGCTGCGGCCTTTTCATGTCGTTTGCCTGGTCAGTGACGGTTCAACCCATCTCACCGAGCTCCACACGGCCACCGGCTCCCAGCGGAGTTGGGTGGCGTGCGTTCCCGGCGGGTCGGAGGGGTGGCTGGGGGAGGGGGGGCGGCGCACCTCCTGGCGGCGCTGTTGTGGGGGTGGCCGTTGGCGGTCGGCGCCGCGGGCGACTGGGCGGGGGCGACGTGCGGGAGGCTCCCGGCCGTGGGCGTCGCCGGCGGTTGTCCGGCGGCGCCGTTGCGGGGGTGGTGGTCGGTGGCCGACGCGGCGGGGGGCCGGCCGGCGGAGCGAGGGGCGGCCGCGCTGCTCGGCGGCGGCGGCGGTGGTGGCGGCACCACCGCGTGGCGGCCGACCGACGCGTCGCGGTGCCTCTCCCGGCTCCTCTCTAGCCCGGACACGGGCGGCGGACTGGCGCTCTCCGCTACCGCTTCTGTCTTCTCATCCGTCAGCACGGCAATGCTGAAGCCAGACACTGAGAACGATAACACGCATGCACGCACACGCCTACATTAAAAGGGCACTTTTACTTTAAACGAATTCTCAAATGGAGCAGTGCGAGGGAAGAAGCAGAAAGCGAAGTGAGGTGACCCACTGTGTGGTGAGTGAGTGAGTTGTTGTGACCTGCAGTGTGGTGAGTGAGTGTGTTGTGACCTGCAGCGTGGTAGTTGAACACGGTGTGGGATGAGACGAAACAGTGAGTATCTGGTTGACCTCAAAATGGGTGGGGGAGTCAATAAATGAAGGTCATGGGCACAGTAACCATGGTAGTAGTGGCAAAAGAGTGATAAGGAGGCGACTGACCTCTGGCGAGCGAGTGACTGCGGTGTATTGGCGAGTGCGATCGCACGGCACAGACAGAGTGTTCCCCTGCGGACATCCGTCCCTGGCGACGCGGTCCCCGCGAGCGCCAGGCGATCCCGCCGTGGCACCGCAATCGCGCGCGAGCCCGTCCGTCAATCCGGCATTCACAGCAGGCGGGGCCACACGCGCGCTAATGCCGCCCGAGATAAGGGGCGGACACATACGGGGCGAACGTAGATAGCGCGCAGAGGAAGCGCGCAGGAGAGCGCCGTCAGCGCCGGGAGAGATACGAGAGAAAGGCGCGGTTTTATCGTCCCCGCTGGGAGATCGGCGGTGGCGGTGTGGTGACGCCCGTGAGGAGGATGCGTCGCACGCAACGGGATGCAAATCAGAGGGGAGGTTGCGAGCGGCGCGACGAGGGGAGAGGCCGTGCGCACGGACAAATACTGAAAATGAGGCACACGAGGGCCCCGTGTTCAAGCTTCACGTGTCTCTTGCTCCGCCAGGTGAGAACTCAAGAGACGAGGATATGAGTCTCAAATGCAAGAGTGACCTGGGTAACCATAATACTACCTTGAGGTTTTGGGCTTTTGGGCCTGCGCTCAGCAACTGTCATAAGTCCACGGTGGCTGCCTGACCACCACCAATGTCTGCACTAAACACCAACGCAAAACTACAGCTGCACTGCCGGCGAAGCTACATCCACACACCGTCAAAGCTACATCCACACGCCGGCTTCCATGGGGCCCGGAGGCACAGCGCCACCCCCCCCGATGACGCTGACCTCACAGCGGAACAAAATAACGAGAGCTCGTGGAAAATGCCGGTCGAGAGGTCACGGGTCGGGTCCGTGACCACGGGACCCCAGTTCCTCTCGAGGAGGCTCCGCACCCCCCCCCCCAAAGTGCGTTCGAGCCGCCGTTCCGTTTCATCAGAGCACGGCGGCGGCAGCGCCGCCGCGTGTGGTGGGACGGGCTCGCCGGGAGGGAGCCGTCGCAGCGGGCGATAATAAGAGCAATTCCCGGTAATTGGAGGAAGCCTTGTGACTTATCTCGCAGGACGAGCACAAAGCAACAGCGGAGGCACAGCGTGCCGCGGGAAACATACTTAGAGCGCGTGCCGCACAAGCTCGATGGGACGCCTCTGTGTTGGCACACTCGAGGACAAACAATCAGCCGTGCTCATCCTCAGAGGCACTGTCCCGTTGATAATCGGCATGGCTGGATTCAAAACATAATCACCGACTAAACAAAGAGAACGGACTGATTGAATTATGGAGTTTATCGTTTTAAAAAAATCAACGACAAAGGCATCGACACACATGCTGCGCTTGACGCCAAAGAAAATCTGCGTTGGCAATCGCTTGCCTGTGCTCCCCGCGTCTATACAAGGAAAGGCACGGAAGATGGATGGGAGTTGCAAACCGTGCTCCAATTCCGTACGATCGTTACGGCTCTGAGGAAAGAGAGCCGTTCCGTGCGGGCAGCTCGTGGCGGCGGCGGTCGGCAAAACGCCGCAAATTCATTCCGCGGTCCTCGGGGGAGGGCGCTTTAACCTCTCCCTGCAGCCAGCCGTGTTTGCTTTGGAAAACGGCGCACGAGAGGACGCAGAGCGCGGTTTCGCACACTCCGGTAACAAATAAAAAAAAAAATTACTGCAAATTGAACCCTAAAGGAGGCCTGTGTTGCTGCAATGACAGGACCACCGGGCTCTCAGATCAATTAGAGCGTTTGGGGTGGGGTGGGGGTGGGGGTTGAGACGAACCCCGGTGTTTGGTTTGGCAGGAGCCGGGGCTGCTGAAAGGGAGCAGTCACGGCTTGCCAAGCGCAGAGACGAGGGCTCTGTGTGGCTTTTTTTTCTGTTTTTCAGGGAAGTCCCTTGCTCCCAACACTTACTTGACACTGTGGCAAATTTACTTGGGCAGCTTTGGACTAATTCATAGCGACAGTGAAATTCTAAAGAGGCCGTCTGGCGAGGCAGGCAAATACACAAAAGGGAAAAAAAGGGCCACAGCTTAGGGAAATCAAAGCCTTGGAACGCTGCCCGCTCACGCATACGCGAGCAATTAAGGCTCGTTCAGTTGCACAGAAAGGCAGATTAAGCGCATGCTCGCGGCGCGTGTGTGAGCGAGCGCGGCGCGCCGCACCTCCAAATCTAAGGCCCTTTCAAACGCGCACCTGCACGCCGCTGTAAATATCATTTCCTTTCGAACGATGCCGTATAAACACCGTGCACGCACGGCCAAGTCGTTAGCGAAATTGAGGCGGTGATTATCGCCGAGGCTCGGGCGTTCGCGAGACCGCCGACTCGGCCCTGGCCCATCGGCGCGAGCGACGACGGCGGCGAGTGAGGTGGGGGGGGGGGGTACTGTTTCCGGGCCCGGCCGCCGCCCACTCAACGCTTGCACGATTCCCGTTCCCCCGGAGCGGTGGCTGCCGAGCGGCCCTGCGGGTATTAACCCAGTGGGGAAAATGTGCCCTCGACCGCAACGCGGCCAAAACAAACAATACCGTAGCACGTCTGGAGTTCTTACGGCGCGAGGATACTTGCGGAGGCGCTTGCCGTACATCACGCAGTTGGCAGTAGTTTCACACCCGGGGGGCATGCTGCTGTTCGTTACCACAATTTAATTATTTTCAGGTAATCTATATATATAAAATCGCGAATCTGTCTGTCTGTCTGTGTGTGTGTCTGTGTGTCTGTGTGTCGCCGGACCATACGCAGTTTCATTGGATGCCGGTTGCCCCTGGCAACGGGTAGCGACGCCTTCGCCGCTTTCATTGGACGGCGGTTGCCCCTGGCAACGGGTAGCGACGCCTTCGCCGCGGGGTGGACGCCATTTTTAATTCCCGTTAAAAATAGGCGCACGCATTAACACGCGACTCTGAGGTAAATTCACCAAAGTTTCACGTCCTCTTCACTCCCCCCCCCCCACCACAATGTGTGCAATTACTATTATAGGGTCGGTAGATTATAAAATTATAGCGATTAGACAGTATTATTGTAGCGCGGGGGGGGGGGGGAGGGAACGGCACCCGTACCCAGCCTCAGCCGGGTGGGAAAATCAGGCGAGGCCGGAGGCTCTGCACGGTGCTAGGCCTCGACACCCACCACGTGACTCTGAGGTAAATTCATCAAAGTTTCACGTCCTCTACAGAGTGGTGAGGGAGGGAGAGTGGTGAGGGAGGGAGAGTGGTGAGGGAGGGAGAGTGGTGAGGGAGGGAGAGTGGTGAGGGAGGGAGAGTGGTGAGGGAGGGAGAGTGGTGAGGGAGGGAGAGTGCTGAGGGAGGGAGAGTGGTGAGGGAGAGTGGTGAGGGAGGGAGAGTGCTGAGGGAGGGAGAGTGCTGAGGGAGGGAGAGTGGTGAGGGAGGGACTCAGCCTCAAAACGAGTAACTGGTGTGGCGTATTAACATCGCCACTGGGGAGACAAAGGCGGCCGGCCGTGGTGGATACAAGTCCCGGGCGAAGCCGGGTAGTACAGCTAGTTTTCTTTAAATTTGGCGAACTGCAACCGTGACGACGGCACACACGATGGCCTATTCTTTCCGATTGACGTCACAAGATCCTCAACATCCAATGCAAAGCAGACCACGTGTAGTATTTAACGGTTAATATGCCGCAGTATTAACCGGGACATCCTCCCGAGTTTGAACCGTGCACCTCCGCAACCAGCGGCAAACGCGCCGTCGCCGGACCGCTTCACCGCCCCGTAGGCCGTGGACCACAGTTCGGTCAGGCGGGTGGTGCCAAATATTTAGCGACACCAGTTTTTTTTCTCTACGGCAAACACAAGTGAGTTAGGGGAATTGTCCGATTATCACGGTTGGTCACGTATGGTGCAAAAGAAGTTCAGCGTACATAATCAGCGATTTCAAGGTGCACTGATGGGATGTGTAAAGAACACTTTTGTATTTTCTCTGCAGAGGGAGAGACGTGTGATGGAGGCGCTAGCCTGCTCGTCTCTGTTGCTGGCATCACTCACGAGCCTTGCCATCTCAGAAGAGCAGCAAGGCGGCGCGGTGGTCGCATCCTGAACGAGCGGCAACAGGGACCCGGTTTCCTATTTCTGACTCGAGCGCTTTTCTGCGTAGAGTTTGTATGTTCTCCCTCTCTCCTTGATCGGGTTTCCTGCGAGGCTCTCCGGCTCCTCGCCTATCTAAACACGTACAATGCCATTGTCGTTGGTCAAACATCCCCATAGCAGAGCTTTCGCACAGAGTGTGGTTTTCCTAGGTCGATGAGTAATTTCTTATCGTAAATATTATAAACTCTTCTTATTCTCGTGAATGGCATCAATGAAAGAATAGAAAGTCGTCAGGAGGTGAGAGAACTGGACCGGACGCATTCTCCGAGGGCACGGGTTGATGATGAAGGACGTTACAGAAGAAGGAGCAGAAGGGATGAGAGCGAGAGGAAGACCGAGGATTGGGGCGCTGCAGGAGCTCACGGAAGGGTGCATTTGTGGGAATGAGGAGGAGGGCAGCGAACAGAGAGGCCCCGGCGTTAAGGGGGAACGCTAACGAAGCGACGTGCGAGCTCTGAGCGACGTCTCCCCTTCGTGCGTGGAAGAGCGCCGGCGCGCGTTCAGCATGAAGGCGCCGCGAGCGCCGCCCCCCCCTCCCGCCTCCTCCCTCCCGCCCCCGGAGCCAAGCAGGCAGATGCAACGAGATG